AATTAAAAAAAGAAAAGTACGTAAATTTTTTTTTTGTTGTTGGGGGGGGGGGGGGGTAGGTTCGGTGAATGCACATATGAAACTTGGGGGTTCGGTACCTCAAAAAAGGTTAAGAACCACTGATCTAAATGAATAGAAGTGAATCCTTGAAATCCTTGAAATATATCCCTCGGTGCGTAATGGTTCTATATAATATGAGGTTCACTTTTTAATTTGAATTACCTTCTACAAAAAAAAAAAAAAAAAAAAAAAAAAATTATCTGGAAAAGCAGTTGCAATACTTGGACAAAATTTACAGCACTAATGAAACCACTCTACTATCACAGCCGCTTTTCATTACACCCTGCGGCACTTTGTCTGGACACAGCTGAAAGGATAACCGTCAGCGTTCTGTTTTCTGACATGAATTTTTCAACAGAGTGATGGAAACAATGGAGGCGTCAACATGTCAGGTCTAGGAGTAAACACACTGAAATCAGCCACGGGATGTTCCATTAAGCGTGCACCCATTATACCCATCCATTTCCTGTGTGTGGTGGTGGTGGGGTGGTGCATGACATGGCCAGAAAAGGCAAACATGGCCACCATTAATGGAGGGAGCACCCAGAGGAGAGTGTGAAGGCTTCCTCTGAGTAAACTGCACTTTGGTCCTCTCACTGTCATACGCAGTGTCTTTTTTGTTGAGGGCTCCATTACGGTTATTTGTGCGACTCTGACTCATTCTTTCAATGACAAAGAATCCATACATACGACACAAAGAGGACCTGCCAGACGATTTTCTCAACTAATGACACACATTTCGCAAAAAAAAAGGAGCTTTGGTGTTAAAAATAATCAAAACAATTGCTTCATTTAGAATCAAACGACGAGAGTCGGCGCTAATGTCAGAACCACAGCCAAACATAGACAAGAACAACAGCACAAAGGGAACAAAGGCCTCAGTGATTCTTTTACACGGACTCGTCTGTGGCTTTTCAGTATCTAGCTGACAATAGTCTGCGAGCGAGTGCACATTGTCTCGGGTGAGCTCATGATCTGTCTGCTTGATGGAAGTGCTGCAAAAAAAACAAAACAGTGATGCTTCTTATTCACTTTGACACTTCTAAGTTGTGTTTTCTTTAGCATTTTCAACTAATGCCTTTTGTTCTTTTAAGCAAGTTCTAAGAAGATAAGTTTTAGATATTACACGTCTTGCTTGTCTAATTTTAGTCTAACCGCTGCTAGAAGTCTTCACATTATTTTTAAATGTCTTAAGTTTCTCACTACACTTTGCCTTGCAAGTTGAATCAACCCCTACAAAGTTTTGGGATTTTGTCACACCACAACCCCAAATCTCATTGTCTTTTATAGGGATTTAATATAAATGACAAACACAACCACTCTACAGATTTTTTTTTTTACACAAATTAACTAGAAAGCATATGTATTTAGTTTCTTTTACACCGATACCCCTAAATAAACTCCAGTTCAACCAGCTGATGTCAAAAGTCTTTGAAAACTAAATGTATACCTCAAGTTGGAGAATCAATCATCAAGACAACTGTGAGTGTGCAAGTGATAAAAAGTAGCCATGAAGAAAAATTATGCTCTTCTCAGATGAGACCAAACGGAACTACTTGGTAAATATTTAAAACATTATCTGTGTTGAAAAATAAAACTCTTAACACACTTAACATTGTGGTGGCAGTATCGTACTATGTGGGGGTTGGAGGAGGAAGTGAAGAAGAAGACAATCTCAGGAAAAAAACCTTAGACTTGAGGATGAGATAGAGGTTCACTTTCAAGTGGAACATTAAGACTATAAACAGAAATAGTCGCATCACAGGTTGAAAACCATGTAACCTTTATTTTCCGCAACATAAATACATGCTACTTTGTGTTGGTGTATCACTATAAATCCCAATAAAATACAATTAAGTTTGTGGTTGTGCCATGAAAAACTGTAAAACCCCCTGAGGGTGTTGATTAATCCTTAAGCTAGGCCCTGTAAGTTAATGTGTTATGATGAGCTCTGGTTTATAGTAGTGCTTTTATGTCCTATAAAGCCGTTTTAGATTACTGCAATACTTCCTGTGAGGCTAAAAAGCAAGTCCTATAGCCATGAAAGGTCAGAGTTTAATAAGATGAACATCTTCAGTATCATGTCTTCCTCTTCTTCTTCGGAGCAGTGTAGCTACTGGTGTGATGCTCCTTCCTGTCATATTTATCATGGCCTTCCCTGAGGAGATGATAGAGAGCGGATTGATAATTCATCACAGTAAATACTTTATATTCATGCTGCTTAACAGTATGGCAGCAAGCTGTGCGGGACTTATGTGGGTCGTGGTTTGCATTCCAAATCATTTTTCTTGGGGCATATTGAAGATTTTTCCAAGCACGACCTCATTTTGAGTCATTAACTGGAATCTGTAGTGTTTTTATGATGATTAATGCATGTCATGTTACCGAAAGCAGCGGCTGCAGTACAGGTCTCCGTCACAGGTGTGGCAACGCAGGGTGGCGTTTTGGTTACAGATGCAGCACCAGGGAAGTTCTTCGTCGTCGCTGTCTGACGGCTCATGTGCAGCAGCAGCGGGAGAGGTCCAGCTCGTCGGAGCCGGAGTCTTTAAAACACATCAGAAGGAGAGTGGCTTCAATTTTAGACACCCAAAGGAATGAAAACAATGAATTTGCTTGTGCGGTCTTATTTTAGTACTGGTTTTTTAGAGGTTTTCTTCTTTTCTCTGTTCCTGGGTCCGCTGTGCTCTATAGGTATGTTGTAGCCACTGGCTTCATCAAGTGCAGCTTCTTCTGAAAGCTGGAGCCAAAAGTCAAGAGAATGATTAAAATTTCAAAACATGTCTGTATTTGAAACCACAAATTATTAAAATGGCCAAATAGCAGCCTCTTGTGGTCATAAAGGCCATTCTAAATACTTCACAAAAAGCTTTTAAGGGTTTAGCAGCAAATTTATTATTAAGCATCCATCTATAGTATCAACATTAAATGACTAACCTGTTTCAGGACTCTCCTCACGGCTTCTTCCTCAGTCTCTTCTTCACTGTCAGGTTGTCTGAAATCCTCTGCTGTGACTAAATATGAAGCAAAAAAAAAAAAAAAAAAAAAAAAGGTTGATTTGTCTGACATAAGCAAACAAACACATCAGCAAAACAAGACATTGCACTGTCTTGTTTTGCTGTTTGAAATGCTACCATAAACCGATGGACGAATTGTAATGCTCTTGGCTCCAAGCACCTTTATCTGGATCCTGCCCTTTTAACTGTGCCAGCCTCTTGGCCATGTGAAGGATCTCATCCTGGGAATATTTCTCCCTCTTCAGTTCCTTCATGGCTTCTTCAAGCAGACGGTCTTTCTCTGCCTCCTGCTGTCTCACTGCTCCCTGGTTGTCCTCCAGGTTTTCGTCTGAAGCAGCACTTTCGCCTTTGTTGAGATCGTTCATATCTACACCTTCAGAAGTGAAAAGTAAAACAATGTTTTGTTTTACTTAGAAAGCAATGAATTTAACTTCAGACTCTGCCAAATGGTGATACAGTCATTTTATCACTTGTAGTGCCAGTCAAAAGTGTACCTACGCTTGTAGTAAGCATGTACTTGACGGTTTGTTAATGCCGCATTTTGAACAGTATGTTTTTTGTCACAGGAAGTAGATTGTGCAACATTAAATTTTGATGCATGTTTGGGATCATTTTCTTCTTTGACCACCTAACTGCCAGGTTTTTACCATCTAGTTGTTTAAGGTTCAAGGTTCTTCTTCTTCATTATTCTGTTCTCCAATGATGTCCCCTTAATGATGAGTGCATATCAACATTTGACTTGTACTATAAATCTAAAATGTATGAGACAAATATTAACTTACTATCTTCTGGACTTGACTGTTGGTCATCAATGGCGACTTCTTCTGCCATCTGAGTAATCAAATCATTGGCTTTTTCAGTTTGAGTCCTGGTGTCAGGAGGCTGGTGTACCTACATGTGTGAATACATAAACACTTACAAAATAGCTTCTTTTTTCACCGAGCCCTATAGTTGAGTGTTTCACACGATTGGGAAGGGGAACTCACTGGTCGAGGAGCTTGAGATGGAGGTGGCTGACCCCGCAGAGCTGCCAGGCGATCCTCCATATCCTCTGAAGAAGGCACTGGCTGGCTGGGAGTTTTCAGAGCAGCAAGACGTGACTCAATCTCCTTTTCAGAAGGGATAGACTCTAAAGAGGTTAAAATGTTATTAAAGACTTTTAAAAAAAGAAAAAGAAAACAAATTAATGCTAGGCATGGACTGATATTGGATCTCAAAATAGATCAAAGTTTTAAAATGTACATGTTTTGTTATGGACACTGCTGGACAGCTGGCTAAAGGAAGGCTCCCATACTTTTACCTCACTTGCAAGAAAGACAAATTTAGGTGTTTAATTGTCATTCATGTTCATTTTGCATGAACGTGCAAATTTTTTGAAAAAAGCTACTGTTGTTCTGCTATCCAAGGCTCGACCAACTGATCCCCTAGTATTAGTTTATTATGTTTCTGTTACTCCTTAGAGAGCACAAAGGCAAAGAAGGCATAACAATAACTATAACCAAGCATTTTACTTGAAATATTCATGTAAATTTACCAAGTTTTTCTCATACTGTTTGTTTATGTCTCCGTGAAACATCAAAGTAACAGTAAATAATTGCTATGGGTAACATTATTATTACTGTAATAAGTTTGGTTAATTTAATCAGCACAAGAAAAAAATTATTGTTTTTCACTTTCAAGTAAAATTGATGTTCTCTGTCCCATTTGCATCAACTGAGCTTGGTAAAAGAGCTTTTTGTCCACTCAGAACCATATATTGGAACAAGTTGCAGAATGACTGGAAAATGACAGAGTTGATTTCATTAAGTGATTTTAAATCAAAACTAAGTCCTTGAGACTAATTCCATGACAGACAAATGTTTCACATTTTAGATTAATTGTAATTTCTATCAAATTTGAATGTGCTTCTATTATATTTTGCCTGTGTTTGGTTGTGAAACTTGTGTAGCTGTGTTTTGCACTTGCTGCTGCCTATCTTGACCAGTTTTGCATTGGGATCTTCCTGGTTAAATAAAAGTAATACCATCCCATTTTTACATAATTTATCATATCAGCCAATGGCTAACTACTCAAATCATCAGCTTTGATATAGATGATAAATATGCTTAAAAGAACTTAATGCATTACTTGGTTTGGTGTCTTCTTTTAGCTTTTGAAGCCTCTCAGCAATAGCGTAGTCTTCTTTACTAAGCCCTTTGGTTGGTAGATGGACTGATTTGCCATTTCTGCTCCCTCCATGCACACCAGGCTGTGTGGACTGTGGTTTTTGTTTGGCCTCCAGTGCTGCAACCCGTCTGCAAAAAGCACGAATTTTAAATGTTAGGACACTCCTGTTGTTAACAAGATTCTTTTGATTTTTTTTTTTTTTTTTTCAAACATCTAGTCATACAAACTTTTTGTAGTTTTCTGGAGGGGACCATCTTCCAGCATTGTTTGAAGATTCCCCTCTAACAAGAAAGAAGGCGAAATATTAGCCTATGAAAAAATTGGTTTAGTTTGTTTTCTGTGTGTAGGGGAGGTGGTTTACCTTGTGAGATTACTATGACACTGCTTGCAGACCTTCTGCTGGGTGTTGCCACAGCGAGGCACCACAGCACTGAGACTCAAACAGCTGGAGCAGAAGGAGCGTCCGCAGTTCTTACAGCCCAGCTGAAGGGAAAGTTTGGTGGAAAATACACCTTGTATGTTACCTAAGCAAACTTTAATAAGCATGGGTGGGATCGTATTAGTTCTTCTGGGTCCCTGGATCTTTTTTTGAGTTTTTTAAATTATTTATTTTTATTCTATTTTATTTATTGATAAACTTAGAGTTAAATTTAAAACTCTAAAATGCCTTTAAAACAATAAAATTAAGATTTTAATGTCTTAAATGTATTTCCAATTTGCCTTTAAGAGGAAGCAGAGCAATGTTTCAATTATTTTTATTCAGACAGCATTTTTTTTACAACCATTTCAGATTGTTTTGCATCAAATTTCTTGATTAATTTTTATACCCTTTCATTACGTTTCTAGTGTTGAAACATCTTCACAATTTCTGGCTTCAATATTTTCCATTAGTGGAACATGCTTTTTCATGTACTCTAAATTTATCAGACTTTCCTATGTATCACAAAGGCTGTCGATAGTAATAGCATATACTTCTAAAAAAAAATAGTGAGAAACGTAGTATTTCTATGGCCATTTATAAGCGAGAATTTATGTCTAAGGAACCCAGGGGGAGCAAGGTAATGAAGGCCCCCCCAAAGGTTTAAAAGAGCTGTATCTTACCTCCTTCTTGAAGAGACTAAACTTTGATGCACAGCCATAACAGCGACTGTCCATTGCGTCTCCTCTTGAATAATGCCTTCCCAAGCGATTGACGACGTACGGAAATACAGCTATAATGGGCAGAAATTTGGAAAATTAGCTATATATTTTAGGGTGGTTAACGTTGTCATTACCAAAACAGGAAGCAGACCGGAAATGGTAATATTACGTCACGCAGAGATTCCTGTGTGGGGTTCGTCCAATCAGCTTTCTCCGCGGACTGCGGCCGTTGTTCAAAACAGAAGAGCTTGCTAGTGTAACGGCGTCACAGCGCTAGACATTAGCAGAAGATATCCTACCAAAAGAGGTTAAAACGGATCGAAAAGGTATTCAAAACAAGACCATTATCTATCGTAAGTTCTGTTTAACTTTATGTTTATCTGGCAAAATTAGCTAATAATGTGAACATTGACAAAATGTATTGATCTAGCCAAGGTGAGCTTCTCATGTCATTGCGACTAGCTAGCTTAGCATCGTGGAAGTCATGCTGTATGTTGGATACGTTTTCTCACAGAGAAGTTCATTTATTTCGCTAAGTTTAACTTGCACGGTACAACTCTTTGTAATATGGCATTTTAACAACAACAAAAAAAAAAAAAAAAAAACAGCTAACTTTTTCTGCAATCCTTATGAAGGGAAAACCGTCGCGGAATCGCTAATGTAATTTCCATTGCAAAGATTAACTGCGTAGGTCACTTTGCAGAATAACCCTCTCCTTTATGTTCAAGAGGGGCTATTTAACGATTATCTAAGGAAACATTGTTGTTTAATTATTATATTGGATATAGGGATGCAGTGTTATCCATCGTTCTTGTTTGCACACTGAGCAATATGCGAACAGAGAGCCAGTCTTCCTCATGAGGTTGTTCAGTTTACAGCTCTGATGTAGCTACCAGAGCTACAAAGAAAACTGGATATGCATCTGTTTGAAACATTGCACCTAAACGTTCAAATGTACAGCTGAATCTTGGCCCTAGCTGCTGGCTCTTCTGTATTGTGCCTTACGCTTATGCAGTTGACCGCAGTGAAGTTAGTTTCAAGTTGGATATTTGATATTCGAGCTCCGCGGAG